AATTAACACTAACACTCAAATCATATCAATCACTATCATAACGGGGTACACTCAACAACAATCACTCACATTTGCAAACTTTCATACTGCATCTTCTTACTAATTTGTACGCCATAATACATATATTATCCCACGTCGATCAATATATCACAATACATGTGTCCTAATCACCCATCGATGTATTACAACATCATGTACACTACTTCATGTACACCACACTTTCACATTAATTTTACTTTCATATTCAATGCCTCTAGGATCCCTAGAGGACTTCATAGCTTAGATAGCCTCTAGTTAGTCTCAGCAACAAAGATACACGTGTGCTGACCTAACCCCTTTTAGCAAAGGTATAGTCATAAGTCTTCAGGAAATTAGTGTGTGGCCTGTGAATGTTTCCACATCCAACAAATTATTGTGCACTCGTTCACACTGAACATTCATCACCCTCATTTCCCTAAGATTTTCTAAATCTTCTTCAGACTCTATACTCCTAGTATATCTCTGTAATTATCTAAACTCACCACCAATATTTCTCATTCTTTTCTACACCTTTTTCATAGGGCAACATATCACAATACGTGAGTCCTGACCACATAGCTTGATGTATTACAATACATATATTCTAAGTGCACCATTTAGTCATACCACAATACCTATATTACAATCACATCTATTCATCTATTTTGATTCTCGTATTATAGTCACTTTTCTCATAATTTCATCATCATGTTATATTATTTCATTTCAGGCATCAAAATATATCGTCATTCAAGAGTAACATAACACTTTTTCATTAACAATCCAAGTCAACCATTTTCACATATCTCATTCATTCTATCACAGAAGATCCTCAAACAAATCTATACATCACACAGATCAATACAATGTGTTGGAGGTCGGACACCTCCGGACTCAGCCCAATCGTACAATCCAACATGCATGTTTTCTCATGGGTAATAGGATTGTCTATCCTAAAGTTTGATATAGTCCGTTATTAACAACATGCTCACTATTCCAAAACATTAAATAGCACATCCCAACTACTCCTAACAATATTTGCTTAGTAAAATCATAGTATTCCTCAAAGACGGTTTTATTTAGAGCCTTTATTACAAGTTACATTTAGATAGTTATAGAAGTAGGTAAGGGTTTTCCATTTTAAACTACCCAAGAGAAGTTAGGGTTTGGGATCAACTCTTCTTACCTCGAATCGAAGACCAAAACACAAAATCTACAATAGAATAGCCCCCTTCACAGATTTTTGTCCCTAAAATGTGGAAATTCCCATGAGAAACCGAGAATACAAGGAAAAAGGGACAAAAAATCAAAAACCCTAACTCACAAACTTACCTCTAAGTGTCCCAAACTCGATTTCAATCTTCAATTTAGTTTTCAAACAGATTTGGAGGCAATTTAATCTGTAAGAACAGGTTGGGAATAAAGAGAATAGAAAGGGAAATAAAGAGAGAAGAGTAAGAATGTATTTCCCGAACCCTAGACCCTTCAAATACCCCATGAGTTGCGACATTCTCGCTATAGCACGATATTCTCACTGTAGCGAGGCATCTATCGTTGCAGCGACACTTCCTCTCGCTACAACGAAAATATCAGAGAAAACTGCACTCTGATTTTTGTAAAATCTCGCCACAGCGAGACTGCACCCAGAAATGTACCATTCATTTTCACTCTCTCGCTGCAATAAGGAACCTCTCGCTACAGCGAGAAAGCCACAATCTCACTCACTCCTTTCTCCAAGAGTCTTCTTGCTACAGCGGGAATCCTCTTGCTACACCAAGAACACCCTAAAAATACACACTTAACCTACTTTTAATCAGTTCACTACATCCAATCTCAATGCACAATCAGCATTCACATTCATCTCATGTATACACATATATCCACATCATGTATTCACACCCCATCCAATACACATCATCATCAAATATCTTCATCTTCACTCAACTCACAGCTTCCATATTCCTCTTCTCAGAGTCACCACTTTAATTGTTAGCAATTACCCATTTTACATCTCTATTTGGTACAATGATTGCATATGTTTCCTCAACATCTTCTTTATCAATGTTAACTTCAATATCTTTGAAAAAAACATATAACTCAATGGTAGGAGTTGGTGGATGACACTGTTGATGTATTTGAAACATTTGTAGAACATCAACATCATTCGTTATTGGAAGTGTTTGATATTGTATAAAACCTCTAAATATTGATACTGGACACCTATAAACAATACTTTTCACTACCTTTAGAAACTCAAATACAATATTTTTAGTCAGCCAATGTTGCAGTTCTCCAAATGATACATTCTCCCTCATATATACTCATGTTGACATTTCACACTTGAATAATACACCTTTACAAGTATTTGTAATAATCTCATCATTAAAGTAAATCAATAAAAGTACACTCATTTTTTTTTATAATAAACTCACTTTCTCTATCTAAAATGTTTCATCTCTGTTCACTCTCTATCTAAAATTTTACTCTTGCAACTTATAAAGAATGAAAAACTCAATATTTATAGGCAAATATCATAAAAGCTGCCATTGGAGGTTTTTAATTTTTTTCTAATTATTTAATATCATCCAAAAGTTATTAATAAAGATTTTTTTTTATTTATTTTTAATTTTTTAAATCTCAAAAATCATCACTGACGATTTTATGTATTTTTTAATTTTTAAATATTTAAAACTTACTAATAAAGATTTATATATATATATATATATATATATATTATTTTTTAATTTTTTAAATTCTAAATATCGCCATTGGCAATTTTATAAATATATAATATTTTTTAAAATATCACCGTTAACGAATTTTTTTATATGATTTGATATTTTTGATTTAAAAAATATCATTGGCAAGATTTTATAAAATCTTATATTCGTGTAATAAATAAAAAAATCTCATATTTTTTGTATTATTAAATATAAATATCATATAAAAAAAAAAAGAGCCGATAGTTTTCAGTATTTGTTGTTTTTATGTGAGAAAGCTTCCATCATCCAATCCAATTTGATACTAACAATAACATATAACACTTGTATAATGGGCTGAGATGACCTTACAATGGCTGATACCATAGCAATAGATCAAACTCTAGTATATATAAAGGTATTTGAGCAGTAAGAGTTTAAAGAAAGAAAATAAACACACACAAAAAACACTGACTAAAAACAATATTATTGATGAATCACCATTACAACCCTTGAAGATATTAAACACTATATATATATATATATATATAAATTGAACTAAGAGAAAAACTAATAATAAACTTTATCAATAATGTGATCATTACTTTCAACATGAGACTTAATTTTTAAAGTTATAATATAGAAAAATTATCAATTTAATTAAAAAAATTTGCACATGTGTAAATTGCCTCTTTTGTATTATTAAAATTTTAAAGATTTATAAAAAGAAGTATTATTGCTATATTTTCTCATTATTTTAATTATATAATTAGGAAGATTTATATTTTTTGTTGAGATACTTATTTTAATTAAAAAATGAAGAAATAATTTCATTCCCAGTCATCATAACGAAGAGGAAGAGGTCATCATCATCCCAATAATGTGACCAGAAATGACCGTAACTTTTCATTTTTGTTAGTAAGGAGTACCGTCGTGGTCGTAGTATCCATCAAATGACCTCATTAACACGCTTTGTCCATAACCACCGCAAGTTCCGTCGGACCAGAAGACTCAAAAAGTTTCCTGTGGAAGAGAGATAAAATAGAGAAGAAATCTTTTAAAAAAATGAAAAATGAAAAATATGTATATCTAATATTTAGATGAGTTAAAATAAAAATAATAATTTTTTCTGTGTGTTTATATTAATAATTACATTAAAATTATAAAAGATTGAAATTAATTAAAAAATTTTTTTTTTCGTATAATATTTTTTAAACTATATTTTGTATTATTCTAATTTTTTGAAAATAAAAAATGAAATAAAAAACCCCTTTCGTGTAAGATTTTCTCTTCCCTTCCCCTCTCTTTCGTGTTCATTTCTCTTAAAATTGAACATAAATTTTTATAAAATTTAATAGCTTTTATTATATATTTATTAATAATTAAATAGTAATATAAAAAATTTAATATACTATAATTATAATCATATTAAATTAAAATTATTTTTACTAACAAAATTTTGAATGAAAAGAATGCTCATATATCTATATGTCTATTTTTTTAAAAAAATATTTATATGTTCATTATTTTTAAAAATAAGTAAGGGGTTCTAAATTTAAGACCTATTAAATATGATAGTCTGATAAATTTAAATTTATCAGAAATTATTTATAAAAATTAAGTAGTTAAATGAATTAAATTTCTTTCATAAGTTAAAAATAATTTATAATTTTCTATTTTTATTAAAAAATTCGTTTAAATTTTCCAAAAATTAAAAAATAATTTTAATTTATAAAAAAAATTTATTAATTTTCTTCTTCTATTACAATCTGTAAGGTAAAAATATAATCAAACCTTATAAATTTGAATATTCATTTTGACGAAGAAATTTTTAAAAACTATTATTGTTATTCATAAGTTAAAAAATATATTTGATATTTATAATTAATATTTATTTCAAATTAGTTCTTATTTATAAAAAAATTGTGATTTAATCTCTGTATAAGTTTTTTTTTGTGTGTGTTTTCTGCATAAGTATTTATTCTATTTTGATTCTTAATGTTATAGTATGATTAAAATAATAGAATTTAATAAATAATAACTTTTATTAATCATATTAAAATAATATAAAATAAAACGTATTAATAACTTTAATATATTTTATTAAAGACTAATCTACAAATAATGAGTATCCTATAGTGCAAATAAACCGGATATTGACGAAAGCCACCAATTAAACCATTGTTGAGCACAGGTAAAATACTACCCTTGCCTCTATTATTTATAGAAGCTCCAATGGTTGAAAGAAAAGTAGATCACGTAAAGTGAAGCATTAACTTAAGCATGGCAAAGGCAAACATATTGGCGTTCGTGCTTCTCTTTAGCATTCTCAACCTCATAACTCTTATTCCCCATCTCGCAAACGCAGAATCATGCAGTTCCAATGGCCCAAACTCCCCTCCATACAATCCCTCTGGAACACAAGCCACTCTCACTCTCAACAACTTCGGCAAAGGTGGCGACGGAGGAGGACCCTCCGAATGCGACGGCAAGTACCACCCGCTGCCACAGCGCGTGGTGGCACTGTCCACTGGATGGTACAAAGGAGGTTCACGGTGCGGGCGAATGATAAAAATTACAGCGAGAAATGGAAAGACTGCGATGGCGAAGGTGGTGGACGAGTGTGACTCGGAGCATGGATGTGACGCCGAGCATGACTACCAGCCACCGTGCAAGAACAACATTGTTGATGCCTCCAGAACCGTCTGGAATGACTTGGGACTCAACACCGATGATGGTGAAGTACCAGTCACTTGGGCCATGGCCTAAACTAAAGTCTCCTCAAGATTGGGATATATATAGAATAAGGACAAGCGTGTATGAAGCTGGTTTTATCATAACTATAAGTCTATTTATCCATCTTAATTTGAATTAATAAATTTGCAATGTTCTCCTGATACAGTCACGGATTTGTATTAGAGTTATGTTGTACTTGCAGATTCCCCTTCAAAAATACAATGAAATAAAATTGTTCTATGCGATAATATTTGTTTTAACTACTTTAGTCCTCACCTAGTCTTTGGTGCAGAGGTCAGTTTTAAAGTTTTAAGATTTAAAAATTAAAATAAGTTTAAGTTTTAAGCTAAAATTTTAAATTCAAATTACACATATCATTTCGTGGTTCTCAAATCTCAATACAAATTTGTTTGGTGATGAAGTTGATAATAATAAAAATAAAAATAATAATAATAATAATGAACTTGTAGTAGGTGAAATAAGGTGATAGTATTGACCTTGACGGTGATCATGGCAAGGATGGTTATTTTGATATAGTGTGTGATGACAATAATAATAGTTGATTATTTAGTAACAAATGGTGATACACATGATGGTATACAATTATTAAAGCTTCTTCAAGAAAAATGATAGAGTTGAATAATTTGTATTTATAGTTAAAAATATTTCTTTTAATTTTAAAATTGCATTAAAAGTGTTTTAAAGTTAATCCAACTTTATTTTATTTAATTTTTTAATGTGTGTATACTTAATAAGAATCTATGTATGGTAAAATTTTATAAAAAATCACATCATATTATTGAATTGAATACATTAATAACATTAAATACTACCATTTTTAATAATAAAAAATTACTATTTATTAATATTTTATTGTGTGTCATTGAATGCATATTAAAATAATTTTTAATTAAATGTATTTTATTTTAAAATTTATATTTAAGACTTTATAACCACCTAAATAAGCCTGTTATGGTGCGGTAATTTATTTTTTATGACCTTTTTATGTCATCTTATTTTCTTTGAGACATAGGTTATAATATTGAAAGGTAAAAACTAGAGGAAATTTTGTTGTTCTGAGAAATTTGAGGGGAATTTCTCTCTTCTAAAATAATCTTTAAAACATCTATCTGATACAATAAGATGGGAGCATAGAAACAAAGTGAAAATGTTACACATACAAGACAGAGTAGTTCCAATTAGTTTAAACCTTTCGAATATTGAAAGATTGTTATCCATGAAGCGCATGAACTCTAATGGTGCTAGTGATTTATTATTAGTGAAATTCTTCCGACCAAAATATTAGTAATATATTAGCATTTTCAAAAATTTATTTAGAGAAAATAACATGGCGAATTATTTAATTTTCAATGAAAGTGCTATTTTATTATACAAAATTAAACTTTAGTAATAACAATAATAATTTTTAATATACAATTTATTTTAATATAATTCTATGCAACAGTTATCGTTAACAATAAAATTTTAGCACGCATCATTGTAAGATGGCTAATTCTTACCAACTGAACCTTCATTAACAATCATTAAAGAAGTTTCTAATATATAATGAATGTGTTTGACTAGTAGAAAATAGGTCAAGAAATATGGCTAATGAAATGGTACGTCACCGCATAATGTATATAAAAGGGTATTCCTTGACGGCATGTGTGTGGAGGGTATTAATATCTCTAAGAACACGAAATAAAAATTAATAAATATTATAAAGCTAAAAATATATTAGATTTTATTTTTAATAAAAAAATATAATTTTTTTATTGTGTATCTATTTATCTATCTCAAAATTTGACATAAAAAATGATTAATTATCAGTTATCTAACACCTTAGATAGGGACCAGTGCTTCAACTATAAAGCTTTGATCACAAAGTAATTATATTTTAATAACTTAGCACATAAGCTCAAAGATTAGTAATCTGACCAAAGTATTAATTAGGATAATAGTTTGGCCATAAAAGTGACAAAATATTACATACTTAAAACTTTAATCAATGATTCAACTATAATTTAAGTCTTATTAGTTTGACCTAATATAAAAGTTTTTGACACTCTAAACCTTAAATCAATTTGACTGAAATCAAACTTTAATAAGTTCTATAGCATTTTAACCACAAAAATAGTTAAGTGTTAATCACTTAATACCTATTTACGGTGAAAAATGACAATTTATAAACAAATAATTCAAAAGCAATCTAGAGACTGAATTACGTTTTCTTTGAATTTTTTTAAGTGTGTTGTTAACAGACAGTAGGATTGGCGTTATAAAGTAGAGGATTAAATGGAAATAGCAACTAATAGTTAAACAGAATTTAATCAGAAGTAGATGTTTTTACAGCAATGTGTTAAATAGGAAACAAATTGCAGAAACAAGAACCAAATAGGAAACAAATTGCAGAAACAGGAACCAAATTGCGTATAAGGAAATAAGCAAAAGGAACATAAATTGAAATGCGGAAGGGTAAATGTGCAAGAACATAAATATGCGGGAATGTAAACGTATGACTCCTCACAACAGCGAACAGCGGCCACCGTGCGTCTCCTTGTAGCTAGTGTTTAGCGCGGTGCAGGGTCTCAGCGTGCAGAGGTTTTAGGTGCAGTGTCAGGATGCAAAAAGTCGTCATTTGTAAAATGAACTTTGGAGTATTTATAGGCAGGAAGACCACCACCGTTCTCCTCCTTTTGCGGACACTTCTTAGTAATTACCTTCAACTATTGATGTCCATTATCCACGATTGCTTGTGATCGTGTTGTTGGTTGGGGCTTCTTTCGTAACCGTTATCGCCCACGATCTCTTTTGCGTAGTGGTGAATGTTGATGACTGTTGGTAACCGTTTTTAGATTTTGCAATGACTTGACCTATCAAAACTTTTGTTTTTCTATCTTTCGAGTGTTTATGAGAGAAATCTAAGAGGCTTATTTAGTGTTATGGCCTTAGAATAATTTCTCCTTGACTTCTTTTTTTGACTAATTCTGAAGTTTTGAGAGTTTGTCTTGATCTTGTGGACTTAGAATATTTTCTTTGCTCATTTCTGTTTTTCGAGCAATTCTGGAGGGACTCTGGAGCTCAACTAGACTGGCAGACTTAGACTATTTTCTGACCACTTCTTGTTTTTTGAGCAGTTTTGAGTGTCAGGGACTTGGAAACTCCTGAAAACTTCTCGAAAGGCTATCAGTTTTGTGGACTTAGAATATTTTCTGACCACTTCCTGTTTTTCGAACAGTTTTGGGTATCAGGGACTTGGAAACTTCTCAAAATTCCTCGAAAAGGTCATCCTTTTTGTGGACTTAGAATATTTTCTTGTCAGTCTTATTTTTCGAGCACTTTTAGAGGAAAATCAACGAGGTGACAAAAACTTCTAAAATAACTCAAAATGTGTCCTTTTGATATGAAACAAAAAGGTCTTAGATAACTTTCTAATACTTCTCAAGTTTAGACCTATTTTTAGACTCTTTCCTGATTCTCAACATTTTGTCGAAATATAGTTTTCTTCAACATGATTTTTAACTTAGAAATTTTTTTTTACCCCAAACAATACCTTAACTAAAGATAACAAATGTTTTTATTAAAAGTATTAATTGAAGCATTTTAACCAAAAGCAAATGTCAAATACCTACGATAAGTAGTCGAATAATGAGCCTATTTTTCTAGAAACAACAATTACTTCCTAAACAAAGCAATAACAATTATCGCAACACCCATGTCCCTAAAACATGCAACTAAGGAGACAGTAGAAACTACATAATACTAGGGTAGATTATAGGAACAAGCTACGTAGTACTAAGGTAAATTATGGGAACAACCAACGTTTAAACGAACGATTTAGATTACTTTTTGTATTTGTCTTTATATTTTTTCTATAAATAGAATTTTATATTTTTTTAAGGAGATTGAAGAAAATTATTAGACAAGTAACGAAAAATACTTGAGAGCATCAAAGGAGAAAAGAAAAGAAAAATATAAAAAATATATAGTAAAAAAAGACACAGAAACAAAGATATGTTGTACAATTAGAAACATACGTGATTGCTCATACACTTCTTAATAAATAAAATTCCTAGCATAATTGCTTTTAGCATTATTACAATAAACATCGAGCACGTATAACTCTAAAAAGATTGTGATTTTAATTCACATATCTTTTACTTTTACTTTCAATGTTTATTTGATATAACTTTAATTTTCTTTGACACTCCCTTCAACGTTCTTACTGATTTTATTTTTTTTATTTTACTTATTAAACTTCTCAAAGACCATTTAAAATTAAATTGACATAAAAATTTCTTTTTAAAATTTGCAAGAAAGTATGAATCTAACTTTATTAGATAAATAGATAATTTTAAATATAAAAAATTCACCTAAAAATTATCATTAGCTATGTGTTAAATAAATATCAATCATGTATTTTATAAAAAAAAATGTTGAGAGATAAAACTAATTTGAATAATTTTGATATCCAGAATGGATGTTATATACCTTTAATGCAAAAAAAAAATAAAATACAAATCAAACATATCTGCCATTATTTTTCTTTTTTATAATCCTTATTTGAAAGAGATTAGCAGTGATGATGAATGAGCTTTGAACTGTGACGAGAGAGCAAAGAAAGGGACGTAGATGTAAACGAAGAAGAAGGGATCATCATTATCACAATATTATGACCGGAAATGACCGTAACTTTTCATTTTGTTAGTAAGGAGTACCGTCGTGGTCGTAGCATTTACCAAATGACCTTATTAACACGTTTACTTTCTCCGCGACCACCGCAAGTTCCGCCAGATAATAAGACTCACTTGAGCCTGTTTCGGCAAGCGACCGAAGCTAAGTGCAGCTTAATTTTAATTTTATTAAAAAATATTTTAATAAAATTAAATTTAAAATAAATGGTTTTATAATCATATATTTAAAGAAATAACTTTATTCTGATAATATATATATATAGATACACACACATTTTTTGGTCCATGATTCTGTTGAATTGAAATTCGGATATTGATTTAAAAATGTGATTAATTGAA